CAAGTAGAGGGGTGTAAAAGTAGGTGCGCGCGCGCGCGAAAAAGGTGGGTATATGCGCCCAAAAGAACGGCGAAAAGAAGAACAAGGGGGAAGGGGGAGGGCGGGAGATATGTACGCAAAAGGTGGATGTATGCATGTAAAAGGGGGATGTATGCGCGCCCTAGGACGAAAGAAAGAGCGGGGAAGGTACGACGGGGAGGCGAATGAAAATGCGATAAAAAAAGTAGGATTTATGCGCGCAAAGCCCGGTATAGGCGCGCAGGAAGACGAGGGGAGGATGGGCGTCGAATAAAAGGGGGGAAGAGAAGGAGAAGGAGAGTAGGGTGTGTTTGTATGCCAAAGGTGGATGTATGCGCCCAAAAAGTGGTAAGAAAAAGGGGGGAGGTGGGTATATGCGCCCCAAAAGACGAAAGCACCCCGCGAAGGTGAATATCCGCGCCCCTCCCTCCCAAAAAAGAAAAAAGAAAAACGAAGCAAAAGCGAAAAGAAAAACCCACCTGCGCCAACGCCCCCGCGGCCGCCGCCGCACTCCCAAAAGTAAGCACCGCGTACCCCGCGTTGTTCGGTGGTGGGCCTCCCCCGCTTCCTCCTTCGCCTCTTGCCCCGTTTCCGTTTGCTGCGCCATTTCCCCCATTTACTCCTGCGTTTACTCCTTGTGCTCCTTGTGTGCCATTCACACCTCCTTGAGAGGAGGCACCGTTGGCATTCGAGGTGAGAGGCACCCGCACCCCCGCATCCCAACGCAACAGCGCACACACCTGCCGCACGTACTCTGCGTCCATCCACGGCTCGAGGTCGCTCCAAAGGAGGGTTTGCGGGGGGGCGAGGGCGTTTGTGCTTCCGTTCATGCTGCCGTTGGCGTTCGCATTCGCATTCAGGCTGCCGCTGGCGTTTGCGTGCGAGGAGGAAGAGGCATGCATGGCGGTAGAGGGGCCGTTGGGCGGGGCGTGCGAAGAGGAGTGGGAAGAAGAAGAGGCGAGAGCGGGGTGCGAAGAAGAAGAGGGCACAGACACAAGCGCGGGTGCGGGACTGTGCGAATGCTGCCCCTGCTGCTGCTGCTGCTGCGGGGAGCGCGCCGCGCCAGGGATCGTGCTAGTCATGGTGGTGGAAGAGGGCGAGGGCGAGAAGTACCGCGTGGCGCTGGCGTTGTTCTGCCCTTGTCCGACGTTGGGTGCGGCACCGTTCTGCGCATGATCCCACTCGCGGTACTGCTGCTGCTGCTGCTGGGGGTACCCCTGCGCCGGCGCGTAATACGCGGCGTGCTGCTGGTGCTGGTGCGGATGCTGCTGTTGTTGGTGCGGGGGAGCGTGCGGGTGCTGCGGGAGCTGGTGCTGCTGCTGGTGAGGATGCGGCTGGTGCTGTTGGTGCGGGTGCTGCGCGCCCTTGAACGCGTATGCGTAGTCCGCCATCGTCGTCGTCTTCTACCCTAGAAGTGGCGTGCCGTGCGGGTCGTGTACGTGCGGGTCGTCGTGCGTGTGCGGCGAGTGACTCCTATCGCGGCTCCGCGTCGCGTCCGAGTCGTCGAGTCGTCGAGGAATGTCGTAGAAGTCGAGAGAAAGGGAAGAAGGAAGAAGGCGAGGCGAGGACAAACAAGGCGAGACGGAGACGGGACAGCGAGGATCGGACACGGGGACACGGGGACGAGTAAGCAGACAGAGGATTGGACAGCGACAGGAGGCTATTGGAAAAGGAAGAGGAAATGGGGATCAATCGCGCCTTCGAGGGGCTCGAATCAAGATCGCGCCGTGCAATGCCAATGCCAGTGAGGGAGGGCGAGAACAGCGAGGAAGGGATGGGCGGGTGAAGGAAGAGGGAGGAAGGAGGAAGAGGCGGGAGTGACCGAATCCGCTTGTTTTCTGAATGGCAAGCCGAGTCACGCATTGCACGCCGGCATTCTAGCCAGCCAAACAAGCTGCGCGATGCTGAGCCTAATTGTAAATCCAACGCTGATGTACAGCTCTGTCCCTTATCTCGACAACTGCACTTGACTGGATTGCTGTGGCTTCAGCTGTGCGCGAAAAATGAAATCGCCACGTCCGACGTCAAGGCGGTACTCCTCTCCGTTCTTCATCGCCGAAAAAACCCTCTGACTGAGGCACCCTGGATCTTCTTCACCCCAAAAATCGCCAGCAGACCACGACGCTTTGGTCCCCCGCGAATGGAGGTAAAACTCCCGCTTGCATGGACCCATACGCCTCCCATGCCTCCCATGTCACTCCAAAGCGCTCCATTGTCCCTTCAAACCGAGCCGAGCCCCATTGTCTGGTTGCGCTTTGGAGTGGGTCCATTGTCCTTCCCTTCCCTTCCATATACGCGATTCGCTGTGATTCGCTGTGCGCTTCGGTATGTATTGCGCTTTGCCATTGTCCGCCCAATGCGGATTCACGGAACCGGCACGGGCGACGGTCGATCGATGTATGATGATCGGTCCCTGGCCGAATCTGCAGATATTCAAGATTCAATGAATCATTGCAGATTCGAGATGGATTGAGCTGTGGTCCTGTGGAGAATGGAGAATGGAGAATTACTACAATGGGGAGTTGCTGGAATGGGTGGGCGCGAATCCGACACGGGACGGGATGGGGGAGGCGGTGGGGGTCCGTGCACGGTGCTGTCGGGCCCGAGTCAAAGGACGGGCTGAGTTGAAGGAGAGAAGGGGGAAGTGGGGATGTGATGGAGTGTGCGGTGAGTCAACCCTCCTCTTGCTGTATGGCCGATTTTTAACAGGATTAGGCTTGAAGGCCGGACGAAGCACGAACCCACAGCAAGCTCGAAGGCAAACCGGGCCCGAAATCGATCTATCTTCAGGTCAGCGATTGAAACAAATCACAGTGTTAATGCAGGGCCTTACCAGAATTTAAAATTCAGGACACAGATCCCGGAGCCCAACTCGACGCTGCAATCCCGCTGTTCCGCCCCAGCAATCTGTCCAAACTCGCAAGTAATCCGGAATATATCGGCGCCTACTAACTCGACTTCGCCTTGAGCGCTGCGACTTTCGAATCTCAAAACACACAGCTCCGTTAGCCGCCCTTTCGAAAGATATCAGCCTCAGCCAACGCAAGCTGTCTGCGGCTTACCGAATTCAACAGGCCCCGGATTCATTTTCTTCTCACTTCGTAAACGCCCGTCGCTGGTCTTGCAATCGAACGAGCTGAAAAACAAGCAGTGGATCCTCGAGTCTCGGAATAATTGTGAAGACCCAAAGAACCGAAGACCCTCGAAGAAGCAAAGCCTCGAAGCGCGACGACGCCGATCCGCCACCGTCGCAGAAGCTTTTGCTTTTACTTTCGCGCCAATCGACCAACTCGGGCACTGGTCGGCAGGTCGAATACTGGGAGGCGCGCGTTATCTTGCTCTTGGATCTGCGGATGCCGACTCGGGCGCGCTGTATGGTGTATGGTGTACTCAGTCTACGCGGTCCTTGGAGTCGGACTCTTCGTCTGGCGTCTTCGGATCCTCGAGTTTGATATGCATGGCGCTGCACCAGCCCTAGATGTCGGACAAGATGAAACTAAAGTTGGTGCTGGCGAGTCATTTCCTCGCGAGTCTTGGATCTCGAAGTCCGGCTAGGCACAGAACTAGACGCCAGGAGGAATCCCCGCCGCCCTAGATCGTTTCCGCGGTGTCCTTCCCCCACGGCCTAATGTGCGCGGATCCGCGAAAGGTCGATTCAAATCTCTTCCCTCCCTGCCGCACATGCATGCTTCATCCATTCACCTTCAACTCGACGCAGCGACAGTCACATATCAGTGCGAGATTCGCATGAGCTGTGAGCTGAGCGCCAACAGCCAGACTCCCGCACCCGGGCACTGGACGCTAGGATAGACGCCGGGATAGACGCTACGAGATGAGATTCGGCGGTTGGTACCTTGCCCCGAGCAGGAGCTGTATGAGATGAGAGACTGTCGCGGGTCCGGGATTCGGGAAGCGCTACTTGAATGCAGGCGCTTGTGGACGCTTGAATGACACAAATATGGAGGGGAGAGGCAGGAGGAGGACCACGAGCGCTAGCGCGGAGATGAAGTTGGGCATGCGGGACCGCAGGGGGGAGGGGATGAACGCCCAAATTGCGGCAGCTTATTCAGCAACAGTTTATTCAGAGACCGCTCCGCGTTCCCCATTTTTATCCACTCGGGACTCAAAAAATCTATCAGCGTCGGCGAAGCTATTCGAAATGAAATATACCACACACCTGCTTCAAATTTTGCCACCGTCTTCCCTTCAATCCCTTCCCTTCCCTTAACCCTCCTGTATCCTCGTTGCTCCCTGCCAGTTGCTGCCTTCGACCTTTGTCCCTCCGAGTCATCCTCATCCTGCCACTTGCACTCATCCGCTATCCAAGAAGCTCGAAGGAAAGTTGAGCTTGCTACTTTCCTGGCACTGGAGTCCAAACGGCGGAGACCCTCCGTGGTTTGCACAGTGGGAAAGACAGTGGGAGACGCCGCACGCGCGCGCAAACAAGTGTAGGTCCGTGTGGGTCCGGAAGTGGCGGTGCTTGGCTCGTCTTTCTTTCTTTCCTTCTTTCCGGTGCTTTGTAGCTTTCTACGTGCGTCAGCCCAGTCTGGACCTGCGTGCTCTATAACCTCAACTGGTACGCTGCCAGGTATGAAGTAAGGACTGGGGAAAATTGACAGAATTCTGTGTTCTCGCTACATTGTGCACCTACAAGTCTGGGGAACGCGTCGATTCTCCGGACCACATCTTGCTCGACCTTACTCTGGTGGCTCTGTAATAACTACAACGGGCAGACGCATCCCCATCTTGAAGAAATGCTCGTTCCTTTTCTTGCTGTGTGAGTGTTGAACCAAGATTCTTGAAAACAGTCTTTTGCCCTCGCTGTGTTCGAAACTCAGCCTGTGGCTACAGCAAAGGAAGCCAAAGGGTTAATCTTGTCAGTTCTCGCTGCCACTCTTGTGCCACTCCACCACAATCACAGCTGACTTATTCGTTCAGGCGTGCACTGATCCCATAAGGGCATCCGTACAATTCGCCTTCATGGCGCGATGGCCGAGTGGTTAAGGCGACAGATTCGAATGTGGTATATAAACATAACGTTTCATCTGTTCCGGTTTCCGGGCGCAGGTTCAAATCCTGCTCGCGTCGTTGTTTTGCTTTTCCTACCTACTGACCCGATGTTTTCATTCAACTGGGTGACTTCTTACAGTTGATCTCCTTTCTCGGCTTCTCCTTGAAGTTGAATGACTCGCACTCCTTTTTCTGGCATTGATGATGCTGTTTTGTTTCCAGCAAGTTAATATCGAACTCGTTTGGGTCGAATCTGACGTCGGATAACTATGGAGAGATGTTTTGAGCAGCGGGTTGCTGCTATATATTATTTACTGGCACGGGAAGAACGCGAAAAACGAGTGCAATACACGAGAAAAAAGCCAGGAGATCGCGATTGAGAACGCAGCACCGATCGCGATCGGGGTCATTGCGATCAATGACAAGCGGAGTCCGAAAGCCTTTTCTCAGCAAACCACCATGTCACTGACCATGGTCGACGGAGGGCCGCCATTCGCAGCAGCAATGGGTCTAGCTTGCCACAGATGTTTCAAGGTTCAAACCCTCTCCCGGTGTAGTGCCTGTCTCCGAGTCGTCTATTGCAGCCTAGGTCCGTTCACTTCTTCTACTGCGTATAAGACAACCGTTCGGATGCTCACACCTTCTGTCGCAGATTGCCAAAAGGTCCGCGGAATGCTGTTCGTGGATGTTACTGCGTCGTGATGCAACTTTTCAAGCTCGATTGGAAAGCCCACAAACACATCTGCAAGGTTCTGAGAGCAAGCGCAAAGAACGAGTCGAAAAGGCCGCGGCCCTATCTTTCCCGCCTACCAAGCGAGCCGACTGTCGCTTTGAGTCTTGTAAACAGGATCGCTGACGAGGACGGGGATTATAGTCTTGAGCTCATCCACGAAACTTTGGGGAGGTATGTAGTTCCGTCTCTTTGACCTTGACTTTTTTTTACCGCTGACCGTTCATTCCAAGGCCGCCGACTCCTTCGGAGGTTCAGCTGATCCTGTACGAACCACGATGCATGGTGTGGTTAGTGATCATTCTGTCCCCGATATCCCGAAACTTGACGTTCACCACGCAGTGCGCGCACGGAAAATCTCATTCGTATCGAGGCAGCAAAAAGTGGTACCACGACAGAAAAATGTCTCACTCCCTGCCCAAAGTGCAATGTCAGCTTCTGCTGCTCGCCGGCGCATTGGGAGGCCGCGCTCACGCTCCATGACGCCCCATGCGAGGATGGACCTCCCGATGTTTCCCAATGCCAAATGAACATCTGGCTGGAGGAAGACCGCAAGCTCATGCCTATCATGAAAGAAGCTGGCATGTTCGATGCCTCGGGGGATCTCATAGGCGTTCCGCCAACGCGTCTCAAATCGGTCTGGACTTCGCTGGCAGGGCTGTCCTGGGACACCGCATTGGACGATGCGCTCCATTCGACCCTTCAGCCCTCAGATCGAGTTCGTTCGATTTGGCTCCGATCGGCTTCCGAGAGCCTCACGAGGGTCATGACGATATTATATGCGCTGGAGAAAATGCACGATAGTGATAGTTGGACACGCAAAGATACACTTACAATCCATGTCTGTCCCCGTCTCTGTTCTTGCATGTTAGTCTGCTTCTCACGCTCAACAGATTATTGGAGCCGGCAATGATGAAACCCGCCTCGGCAGAGCCTTCGAGGAAATTCTGCATCGACTCCCCGAAGTAAATACTCTGAGGGTACGAAGATCTAGTTTCATATCGCCCAAAAGAAAACTACTCGACAGTTGGTCTTTTGCGGTCCGGCACTGACCAAAAACCAGGGCTCTTTCCATTGTACCACTTGCGTGTTCGTTATACCACGTCATGCCTGGGCGCTTACTGAACCTTATTCCAGGCAGTGCAAGGAGCTCGGGCGAAAACGCATGCAGGAGCATGCTGCGTGGTAAATCACTCTTGCTCTGTTTTTCATCCAGATTCATGGCTCAACTTTTTCACAGTACATATCACGAATACGTCCAAAAGAAAGGCAGCGAATTCGAGAAGCCGGACCTCTGTATTGCCTTCAACTCAGGGGCGTCTCAGATGCCAATGTACAACTGGTCTCCAACGTTCCGACTTCTGGTTGCACGCAAGATACCTACTTTATTCACTGTGCGTTTTTGGAATATGCCCTAGTTCGGTCACTGACGATCCGTATACATAGTCGTATAGCCGCGAGGAGGCAGAGGCCGACGCAGCGCTCCTCCGGGCTGTGGGCGCGACCTTGCGTTCCGGACTCGGGCCTGCTAAAAATCCCTGGGGAAGTCTCACCGTGAGACCGGTGGCGAGCAGAGTATACGGCTTTCACGCGGTGAACGGATGGCTTGCGGGCGGTTTCATATAAGAGTTTTTACGCCTGCATTGCTCTGGACAAATGTGAATTGTCAATCATTTACTCTCTGGATATACTGTAAATTTACCGGCTTACACAGATCCAATTTATAGAGTCGCTGCAACACAATGCTTTCCGACCTAGTACGTCGATAAAAGGGTGCATATCAATCATTGGTTCAAATTATAGTACGCGCAGCGGATCACGTTTGCTCTGATTGCCCGATATCACAGTTCAACTTTTCCCGCTCTGTTATCCCAAGCCTGGAAGGCCATTCATAGTTCTCGGAGAGATTGGCAACTACACCTGACTACACCCATTGAACTGAGTGCCAATCTCGATGGAAGCGATCGGCCCGTGGAGCCGTCTTTTTGCACCGTTCAACCGAAGTCAAATTACCAGCCCCGAAGACTACATGTCAGAAAAACGGCAAATGCAAGTAATGCTAAATTAGCCCTCTTTCCGTCACTCTTCTCGTGATCCAAGATCCTAGGCCTGCCCCTACCAGCCCCGTGCAAGCTGTACTATTTTTCACCCGGTATCCGGCCGCTTAGACATCTATGGCTGGCTCCCGAGCGCCAGACTCCCCGTATTCAGTCCACCGGGTGGCTAAACAAAGGTACGTATCTTGTAAACAGGTCCATAGCATTTGCAGGAATTTACCTCAAGTGTTGATGGTTCAGGGAATTTATTTCTACCGGCATCGGCAACAAGGCGAAATATAGGGTAACCGGCCACCCCGCCAACCAGCCTCTGTAGGTCAAATCTCTGGGTTGTTTGCTTCAGGAAAAGTACTGGGGGTGTGTAGGGACAGATTTACGTAGTTATGGTCGACATACAGGAGGTAGAACAGTGGAGAAAATTTATGGATTATGGCAGAACAGCCTGCGAACTGACCCATCGCCGACGATCCAGTGCCCCCGTCACGCCCAGCAGTTGTGGCGGCCCAAAACATGGCGCGGATCGTTTCATAAGACCCCTCGCAACGTACCAGAGCGCCCGGCCTGACACCAAGATAGCGCTAGGTCCCAAAAAAAAATCCAAAGGTCTCGGGCACGGGATTTGGGTGCTCTCAGCTCGAAGCCAGCGACGAGAGGGGAATTTAGGCAGGAGAAAGTTTGCACACGCACAAGGATATAGGTTCACCAATCCTAAAACACCATAAGAAATTCTAGACTCATAACATCCACGGGGCGCACGGCGTGAATACGACCGTCTGATCGACGCAAGACTGGAGTGACCAGGTATCCGGGCCGTCAGGACAGTGGATGAGGTGGATGCGCGCCCTGTGGCATCGCAGAAGAGAGCCCAGGACTGTAGGAGTAGAATGAGCCCAAGAAGTTGCGGAACCATGAAGAACTGGCGGAGCAAGATCGAGAGCAGTCCGGGGGAGGGAAGGAAACACTGATCGGGGCTGTGCGGCCGAGACTAAACACACCACAACATGTGATCCGAACATCACTTTCGGTTGAATTTCGGTATGGACCAGCGCTATAGGTCCCCCACGCTCCCTAGACCTCAAACTTGGCCATATATCAGTGTCCTCTCGTAGGATACAGCGAATGGCCGGTTGCCCAGTGTGGCCGGCTTCTGGGTCGAAAATAGTATGTCGGTAATTATGGGAGGCCTTGGTTTGTGCTTTTTGTCGGCCTTCTTCCGCACTTCCTCGGACATCTGTGGGTTGGGCCCGGTCCACTCGTCAATAATATAGTCCCGCGAGATGAAGTGCGTCTTCTCTGGCCGGACTGGGTCGTTGTTATTGTCGGTGACAATGATTCCGAGGATGGGATGAGGTGGCTAAGAAAAGCAGGCAAAGTTAATCCGAGAAGCTGAGTTGAAATCCCGACTGACCATTCTACAATGACCCGGGTTCCACTTCCCGTTCATCCAATACCAGCAATTCTTGTAATCGCCGTCGGGATCACGGGAAAGTAAGTAAGTTTACGATAGCACTGAGCAGGGTAGAGTGCCCAGCGTTAGGGCGAACGGATACTCGAGCACAGCAATTTGTCCACGATTTTATACGCCTCATGTTCGAAAAACGGAGCCAGTCGATTTGAGCCGAGACCACTTGAAGACCGCTCTCGAATGCGGCCCGATGAAGCCGACCTCCCGACATCCTCCGAGCTCAACGGAAGACTTTTGGGAGACTTCATAGAGACTCACCTCGGAATAACTAGAAGATACCAGGACAAATTTTCGTTCCCTGAATAATCCTTCAGTCAGTCTGAGTCGAGCGTCTATGTTAAGAGATCCTATACCACCTTTGGTTGCTTACCGACGTACCGTAGTCGAACCCAGCAACCCACCTCAGTTCCCATCTAACGGTTCCCGGTAGCCGACTAACAGTTGGATGAGGTGGTTGGTTTTCTTGCTGTCAGTTCCTTCTTTACTTTCATACTTTTCCGTTCCTCTGACGTTCGGCACCGTGATGGCTTCAAGTGCCGACTGGTGGCGGATCAGAGTCCCAACGCGATCGCCGGCAACGGCTGTTGAATCCGAGCGGCAAGAGGGCAAGGAGGTAGCATAGGATGAGGAAAACGTAACGGCGGCCAAGCAACTGACTGGGTTTTTTTTATCTCAATTCCCCAACAATTCCCCTATAGAATCGTACTTCCGGCCAACTTCGGGCACTGCCAACGAAACTCCGCGCATTGCAATCAGCAACTGCTGATGTCCGCCATTGATTCCCGCTGGAAACAACGCTAAATACGGGCCCACTCCTCACTTATCC